ATAGGAAAAAATGGCAAAAGTGGATAAATAGGAAAAATGGCAATTCGACAACAGTAAATTATGACCGTTCGAGAATGATGGGTCTAAGCTCCTGGTCCTATAGTTTAAAATAGGGCTAAGTCCTCCACTGAATATTTTAAAATAAATATTTACTCTCTTTAGTGGTGTGTGTGTGTGGGGGGTAGGCTCCTTCTCCTCTTGTTTTAAATAGGGCTAAATTCCCGCTCCTAGTATTAAAAACATTTTTTTTAAATTTTCGATGTCGATTTTTAGAAGTTTTATTTGGTGGTGTGGGCGCTAGGTTCCAACTCCTAATTGCAGTAAAAGCACAAATCGTAGCGTGTTTAAGTGAATTTGATGACTATAATTAATTTTATAATTGATAGCTGACATTAGGTTTAGATGTGTCTATATATATATATATATATATATATATATATAAAATAAGTGTATTAGTGTATAAATAAATGTATTAGTGTATATATATATATATATATATATATATATATATATATATATATGTATTATTAGTGTGTGTATATATATATATATATATATATAGTGTGTATATATATATACTTATATATATATAAGATAAAATATTACACACACACACAAATATATATATATATATATATATATATATATATATATATATATATATATATATATTAGTGTTGGGACGATTAATGGGAATCGGAAAAATCGCAATGGCGAAGGTTCGAATCCTTTACAGATTTCGTATTGACTCTCAGAGTCTAATTTAGTTATTTTATTGTTAAATTATGGTAAACGAAGTAAATATTCTAGAGTTCACTTTAGCCTATTCTCAGCAAACCTTTTGAATTTCTGTTCACACCTATTTGCTAAATGTCTATATGACGCCTCTCAGAGACTTCACACTTGGGTATTACTAGATTGAAAACGCATCAGACAAGATTTAAAATTTTACTGGCACCAGTCTGACCCTGTCATTGTGTGATAATCTCTGAAATAATTAATGTTTTATTGTTTTGTTTTTTTTGTTGTTTTTTTTTTTTCGGTTTCATCAAGTGGACCTATAATTGTTTTTTTCCCAAGTTTTTCAGTGTGTTCAGACGTAATCACCTAAAAAGTAAAATCTCATGTGAGTGGGGAGCTTTAGCTGAATATTCTTTTTAATTTGACAAACTTCGCATGTTTTTCCATTATGCATTATGTACCAAGATTTTAATAAACTCATTGTGAGATATTCATCTATATTCTTTTTCCTTTTACCATTTTTTCTTATTTATCCATTTTTGCCATTTTTACCGTTGCCATTTTTACCTATTTATCCACTTTTGCCATTTTTACCGTTGCCATTTTTACCGCTGCCATTTTTACCTAAATTCATATATATATATATATATATATATTTCCGCTATTTGGTAGGGTTATTTATAGAGGGTGAATAGGTTAGTAGTCCAGAGAGACTCTACTTTTAGAGATTTTTAACTTTCGTTGATTTCACATCGATAAAATTATTAGTCATCGTATAGACCAGGGGTCACCAAACTTTTTGCACAAAAGTCCAGACAATTGAGAGAATCACAAGCGTGGACCGGATAACCATTTTTGTTCTATACAATACATTGAATACACAAAACATAAAGCCAAGAAACATATTTATTCAACAGAAGATTATCCTAGAAGGCGACATTATCAATTAAATAGTTATATTATATCTAGTGTATACATATCCGTACCTCACAAACTAAACAGCAAAAAAGGTTAATTAGATTTGTTAAACTGGCCTTTAGTTTTTAAGATATTTGCTTTGGAATTGTCGCTTCCAATCAAGAGAATTGCTTTCAAATGTTCATCTGTCAACCTCATTGCATGTACTGACGTTACATACTTTAGATTTTATAATGATTTCAGGTAAAATATATGACATAATTTGCTGAAGTTAGTCTCTTTTATATACAGCAGTCTTCAAACTAGTTTAAATACTTCAATGCAAGTTAAAACATGATAGCTGCACCAAGATCATAATCGCTTTTCTTAGAAACTTTATTTAAGGTGCATACAATATGGCGCTCATTTATCAAAAGTCGCAAAATTTGCCGAACTATTTATTTAAAAAATCAGATTGGCCACATTTTGTCATTTTACTCATATTAATTTTAATTGTTTTTACATAGTAAGTTTAATTACGATCTATTGATAATTCTATATAAATAATTATATTTTAGCTCATTAGTGGCACAGCGCGGAGACGGACCGCACGAACTGATATCGCAGATCGCAGTTTAATGACCCCTACTTTAGACAAAGGCTAACTTTTGCTGAAGATTTGGTTTTAAATTTGCTAATAGCTGCTAAAATGTACAAAACCAAACACATTTTTCTTTAAATAACTAAAGTCAGCATTGACCGCATAAACGTAGCCGCAAGTATACAATTCTAGAGTAAATTAATAAGTGATGAGATGGCATATATAGACTAAAATATCCCCAAACAAAAAGGCATGTTTTAATCAAGAACAAGGTGTATTGGTTTTTTTTATGATTAAAGAAGCGTCAAACGTTTCTTTTTTTTCTTTTTTGCATTAAAAGTGTTAACAATTTACATTGTCCGGACTGTTATCTTCATCTCTATTGTCATATTCACGACGTTTCGGCCGTTGTACGATTCAGCTTTCTTCAGGTGATATACGTTGGAATTTCGAAACGAACTCTTTATTTCATCCACCTGGACCCAAGGACACATGTCAAAGTGGATAAAAGCGTTGGTTGAAGTAATCCAGGGACTTGAGTCAAAGTGTCGTGGGTTCAATATCTGGCCACAGCAGAAGTAAGCAAAAAAATAATTTGAGAGTTGAGTTACTAAAGGGAAATAACTGACCTGAGATATCCAGCAAAGGCATGACAGAAATAGAAAAATCTACCCCTGCGGTCAAATAATAGTTAAAATACCTCATCTCAGAATATAGACAGGTAAAGAAATGTTAAGATATCATTTTTGATAATTTGTTACAAGTTGGCTTAACGTTTGCTCCTGATTAAATGGTTTTTCTTTAGATATCTTCATTTTCCAACATTTAATATATTTAATATATTTATTATAAGTAAACAAAAACAGAGCAGCGTAGAAAACAAATGACTGCATTTTCATATTTGTATCATTCTCCATAATTAAAATCGGAATATATAGTCTAATTTTTACAGCCTCGCTTTACCATTTTATTAAAACTAAGCTGAGAGAAATGCCTCCTCTCTTCGTATCCTACCCATCGATTTTCATCATTTAAGCGGCAGGGTTTCTTCACATAACTGTATGAATTGACTCTAATCGGGTTTAAACCAATAAATAGGATTTTTAGTGTGATTTACAAAGAGATAGGAAAGGCGTGATTTTTTTTCTGGCGGAGAATTAAAAAGATTAATTAGGCAGAAAGATATTTGTTGAATAATGTTAGGCTTCCGCAAAACTGATTAGTCGCCGAATTTATTCGGATGATCACAAAAAAAAATCATTATTTTTTAAAAAGCCTCGCCGACTACACGGAGTAGAATATCGTGCAGACCTAAACTAACTTCTACGATTCATTAGTTTTATTTTCTATTTTTCTCTTTTTTTATTGATTGTCGAAGTGTTTCATTTCGCTTCTGTCAATAACTAAGTTTGATTATTAGGCTTTCTTCTTTGCTCCTTCTCTTGTTTTTCCTCCTCCCTTTTCATTCTCTTTTTCTCATTCTTGATGCGTTGATTTTTCGTATTCTTTCTTTATTATATTTCTTCATTCTACCTTCCTTTTATTTTTTTCCTTCTCGCTTCACTCTAATTTTCCAGTCTATCTTCATTCTTTTTACCTTTCGTTGTTATTTCTCTTTTTTTTTTTTCATTCTCTTTAGTCGTTCTTTCTTCACTCTCTTTTCCACATTCTCTCTTCATTCTCTTTTTCATTTCTCTTTTTCATATCTCTTTTTTTTTTCAAATTCCTTTTCATTTAGTTTTTACCATTCCCTATTCATTTTTCCTTTTCCTTTCTCTCTCCAGTCTTTTTTTTTTTCCATTCTCAGTTCATTCACTTCTCCACTTTTCTTTTCATTTTCTTTTCGTTCCTCTTCCATCGATCTTCCAAATGTCGTCTCCGTCTAAATTACTTCACTACAGGATAATTTTCGTTTAAATTTGCCTAACTTTATTGACTCCTTTTCTGTTATCTCTACAAACTGAATGATATTACAGTGTAACCCGGATATAAGAGACCCGGATATAAGAGAAACCCGGATATAAGAGAGATTTTCTCTGGTCCCAAATTAGAGCATGTGTTAATGTATATAAAATAGACCAAACCCAGATATAAGAGAAACCCGGATATAAGAGACTTCTTCTCCGGTCCCGACAACTCTCTTATATCCGGGTCACACTGTACTATTATGATTGCGATGTTACTTTTTATTAAATGCTTTTTTTTTGCTCCTGCTTTCCTTTATCTATTTTTCATAATTAATTCTTTTTTTAAGCTTGATTTTTTATCGCAACTTGTGGGAGAATTTTGTGTTTGTCATTCTGATTTTAATTCTTAAAATCTATATCTTTTTCTTTCTTTCTTTCTTTCTTTCTTTCTTTCTTTCTTTCTTTCTTGTTTGCTTGCTTACTTGCGTGCTTTCTTTCTTTTTTGCTTTCACGCTTTCTTTCTTGCTTTTTGGTCTTCTTCTTTCCATGTTGTCTTACCTTTCCATCTTTACCATCTTTAAAATTGCGTGCTTTCTTTCTTTTTTTTGCTTTCACGCTTTCCTTCTTGCTTTTGGTCTTCTTCTTCTTTCATGTCATGTCTTACCTTTCCATCTTTACCATCTTTAAAATTGCGTGCTTTCTTTCTTTTTTGCTTTCACGCTTTCCTTCTTCTTTTGGTCTTCTTCTTCTTTCCATGTCATGTCTTACCTTACTCCATCTTTCCATCTTTTTTTGCTTTTTTTTTTTTTTTCACGCTTTCCTTCTTCCTTTTTGGTTCTTCTTCTTTCCATGTCATGTCTTACCTTACTCCATCTTTACCATCTTTTTTGGTGCTTTCTTTCTTTTTTGCTTTCACGCTTTCCCCTTTTTTGGTCTTCTTCTTCTTTCATGTCTTGTCTTACCTTACTCCATCTTTACCATCTTTAAAATTGCGTGCTTTCTTTTTTTTTTTGCTTTCACGCTTTCTTTTTTTTTGTTTCTTCAAGACATGTCATGTTTTACCTTACTCCATCTTTACCATCTTTTTGGCTTTCTTTTTTTTTTTGCTTTCACGCTTTCTTTTTGCTTTTTGGTCTTCTTCTTCTTTCCATGTCATGTCTTACCTTACTCCATCTTTACCATCTTTAAAATTTGCTTTCTTTCTTTTTTTTTTTCTTTCTTTCTTGCTTTTAGGTCTTCTTCTTCTTTCCATGTCATGTTTCCTCCATCTTTACCATCTTTAAAATTGCGTCTTTCTTTCTTTTTTTGCTTTCACGCTTTCCTTCTTGCTTTTTGGTCTTCTTCTTCTTTCCATGTCATGTCTTACCTTCCATTTTTACCATCTTTAAAATTGCGTGCTTTTCTTTCTTTTTTGCTTTCACGCTTTCCTTCTTGCTTTTTGGTGGATATCTTCTTTCCATGTCATGTCTTGCCTCCATTTTTTTACCATCTTTTAAAATTGCGTGCTTTCTTTCTTTTTTTTCTTTCTTTCCTTCTTGCTTTTTGTCTTCTTCTTCTTTTCCATGTCATACCTTACTCCATCTTTACCATCTTTAAAATTGCGTGCTTTCTTTCTTTTTGCTTTCACGCTTTCCTTCTTCTGCTTTTTGGTCTTCTTCTTCTTTCCATGTCATGTCTTACCTTACCTCCATCTTTACCATCTTTAAAATTGAACTTTCTTTTTTTTGCTTTGCTTTCCTTTTGCTTTTGGTCTTCTTCTTCTTTCACATGTCTTACCTTACTCCATCTTTACCATCTTTAAAATTTCTTTCTTTCTTTTTTTTGCTTTCGCTTTCTTTCTTTTTTTGGTCTTCTTCTTCTTTCCATGTCATGTCTTAACCTCCATCTTTACCATCTTTAAAAATTGCGTGCTTTTTTCTTTTTTTTGCTTTGCTTTCCTTCTTCTTTTGTCTTCTTCTTCTTTCCATGTCAAGAGACTCCATCTTTTCTTGCTTTCTTTCTTTTTTATTTCACGCTTTCCTTCTTGCTTTTTGGTCTTCTTCTTCTTTCCATGTCATGTCTTACCTTACTCCATCTTTACCATCTTTAAAATTGCGTGCTTTCTTTCTTTTTTGCTTTCACGCTTTCCTTCTTGCTTTTTGGTCTTCTTCTTCTTTCCATGTCATGTCTTCCTTTCCATCTTTACCATCTTTAAAATTGCGTGCTTTCTTTCTTTTTTGCTTTCACGCTTTCCTTCTTGCTTTTTGGTCTTCTTCTTCTTTCCATGTCATGTCTTACCTTACTCCATCTTTACCATCTTTAAAATTGCGTGCTTTCTTTCTTTTTTGCTTTCACGCTTTCTTTCTTGCTTTTTGGTCTTCTTCTTCTTTCCATGTCATGTCTTACCTTACTCCATCTTTACCATCTTTAAAATTGCGTGCTTTCTTTCTTTTTTGCTTTCACGCTTTCTTTCTTGCTTTTTGGTCTTCTTCTTCTTCTGGCAAGTATTGTTTTATTATTTCTCAGCTTCTCCTTCATCTCATTTTCCTTCCACATCTAAACTCCTAATCCCTTTATTGACGAAGACCTTGGTAAGGGCATCTCCTTTAAGATTTCCCCAAACTCTGCCCCGATCTGTTTTTACGCCCTATTTGTCCCATAAGGTTATGTTTAGATCTTAAGAACAGACTTTACGATAGAGATTCCTAAACGAGATATTGCTTTTTTCCTTTTATTTCGTTCTTGTTGTTTGCTATTGTCGTTACTGGTTGCGCTGATGGCTTTGTTGTTATTTATTAGTTGCTTACTTGACTAAAGGAATTCTTTTAGCTTTTGACTTAGTGCACGTAACTTGTTTTTTGTTTCATCGTTTCTTTCATTCCTCACCTCTTTTGAATTCCACTTCTCTTTAATTCCCTCATTCTGGAACATGCACCATAATTCAATTCAGTGTTCATCATTGCTTTTCTTTGGCCTTGTTTGTCTTCTTTCTTTCTTTCTTTTTTTCTTTTGATAACGTAAGGCAGATAACTCTTCCTTATCTTTCCTTTCCTTTTTCCATCACGTTTACTCTCACAATCATTTTCCCTCGTTCTCTCTCTCTCTTTTTCTCATACGCTTCTTGTTTTCTTTCTTTTTTCTTCTCTATTTCTTTTTAGATCTCCTCTTTCGTTCTTAACTTTGTTTTTAACCTTTACCACTCTCTTGCCACTCTTTTGATGCTCTTGGAGCCAATCGCTATTTTCGAACGGCGGCAAGATTTCCGGTCCTTGTCGGCGGAGATGAAAAGACACGCGTCTCTTCTTGTTCTTTCACATACTAACTTATTCTCTGTTTATTTCCTTCGAGATATTTTTTCTTTAGAATATTCATTCATTCTGCCTCTAAATTATTCTAGCATTTACTTCCATTTTTCTTCCATTTATTTTTAATAATGGCCCATTATATGTTGGTTTGGATTCCATAATTCGAAAAATTCTATATTTCTGGTTTCTCCGTAAATAAAATCAATCTCAAATTAATACTTCAGAAAGATGGCCAACAATGAGAGCACCTATAATATCGTGTTTTTTTTTGCTATAATAAACCTTAGCTTTCTCTCTCCCCGTCTCTCTCTTTATATATATATATATATATATATATATATATATATATATATATATATATATATATATATATATATACAACAATTTCCGATTTTCAATAATTCAGCTAGAGGCATTCGGACGTCTAGCCTCACCGATAGCCTGTGATACAGCGAAACAGTCTGTAGATAACTATATATATATATATATATATATATATATATATATATATATATATATATATACATATATATACCCGACCTATTTCTAAAGATATTGAATAAATTTTTGCTTATTCTACTACTCCAGTAAGTATTTAACAGTCCAATATATATATATATATATATATATATATATATATGAAAAGAAATATATATTTCAACCAGTTACCTACCATCGCCTGAGGAAGTACAATCATAGTATTAAAACGTGAAAGTTTTTGTGTAGCGATTTTAAAATGTTTTATTATAACCTCTTATGTGTGTGTGTGTGTGTGTGTGTGTGTGTGTGTGTGTGTGTGTGTGTGTGTGTGTGTTAAAAGTAAGCATTGGATCAACATTTTGAGGCGACAGTCTGTTTACTAGACGCAATCGTCAGGCACCGATTGCGTCTAGCATGAAACAGAGATCACTTCTAAGTCTTGACTTCAATGTTCATTTTATATTTTTACACGCTCTATCTCTGATATTGAGCACTTTATCCAATAAATATAGCACACCTGAAGAGTATATTTCTTCATATATATATATATATATATATATATATATATATATATATATATATATATGTGTGTGTGTGTGTGTGTGTGTGTGTGTGTGTGTGTGTGTGTGTGTGTATGTGTGTACTGCAGTTCAAAATTCGATACTACCTCTGGCAATTTTTAAATTGTCCCCAAAAGTAGTTGTTTTGTACTTTAAATAAGAGAAAATTATGATTCATGTTTAAAAATATGTGAGATATTTTTATTAGAAATTTTATTTTGACAAAAAGAAAAATACATTTTATGATTAATGTGTATCATTCATCCTTTCATTGAATTTTGCTGCCATATCTGGCCTATTACTTCTGTCTTGCATTTATATATTAGTCTTGTTAATATACAAGGAAGACTCTGCAATATTCTTGGCCTTTACTATGTTTTCTGTTTCTTGCCAAGATGCATTCCAGCATCTTTAAACACATTTAGGTTTAATTCGATGCAAAATGTTTCTTCTAAAAAATATTTCCTACCAAGAGCGATGTGTGTTAATCTATCTCAAAATAAAAATGAGCAATTCATTAATCAGAAATAAATTTTCCATCACTTGCTTCAACACGGAACTAATCCCAGTAAATATCTACAATATATGTTTTTTTTCAAATCAGGCCCGCGCTTTTGTTGATGTTTATCAAACAAACCCAAGTAATCGTTATTCTAGTTACTATATTTTTGCCACTTTGTCAAAAATTACACGGACATTAGTAGTTATTTAAAAGTTTTAATAGTCTGATTTAATATTTATCTATTATTCTCATATTATTGTTGCTTTTAATGGCTTAGATTGAGGAATCGGAGAGTAGAGTTCGAATTCCAGTCGAGTTCCTTACATTAACATACGTAATAAGACTCTTGGGAAAGGGATGAATCCATTTCTTCTCCCGTCGGCTATTAGCAAATACCAGGACAGACTGGGTTTTATAGCTACGTGTGGCAACCGCTCTAGGAGAAGGAAAAACTCTAAATTCGAAACTGCATGTAGCCCTGGCGAAGCAGATACTAGTCAGCTAAGGTAAAGATCTTTCTCATTGACACGATGATCCCGTCTATGGTGGATACCTTTTTGAAGAAAATTCTAAGTCCTTACTTTATTCAACTGTTTTTAACTAACCGATATCGCCTGGTTTCTGTTGAGATTCGGATTATTATTTAAAAAGCAGAGGAGCATGTCTTTCACAATCGAATTAGACATTAAAGATGACTGGTCAAATATATATATATATATATATATATATATATATATATATATATATATATATATATACAGTGGCGTAGCTAGAGTAAACGTCACCAGGGGGCGGTCCGCTCAAATATATATAATGACCCCTAATGCACCCTATGCTGAATGGTTAGCTGTAGCTAAATTTTCATACATGCTCTACCTCTACTTTATTCTACTGACCGGTACGTTACTGTTTACATGTATGATCCAAGACAAAATCCAATACCACAAAATAATCAGTTCAAATCAAAAGATTTTTAAAATGCAACTGTTCACTTTCAGAACATTGTGTCACTCCTCCTGTGCTGGCACCCGGGGCGGTCCACCCCCCTCCCTTAGCTACGCCACTGTATATATATATAAAATATATATATATATATATATAGTGTTTTTATATATTGCTCATTAGGTTGTCATTAAGAGAGCAAAAATTACCCCTACAATACTATATCAAACTACATTCCTGTCGGAATAACACTTCATTGAACAGTGTTTCTCTAACCACAATATAAGTTATATATATATATATATATATATATATATATATATATATATATATTATTTCAGCCTCCCAACATTTTGCTGTTAATATAGAAAACATGTTGGTTGGTTCTTTTTGTTTAGAGGCATATCAACACCTCTATGTGTTATTTCATGTCGAATTTTAAATATTTTTTACGCAATTAACACATCAGTAAAGAAGGCATTCCTTTCAAACGTGCACACAAGCACTCTTTCCTCATGTGAAATTTCTAGGATATGAACCAAAGGTTAGGAGGAATTGACACTCCCAGGACATATTGAAAGCAAGGTGTACAGAGGAAAACTACGAGTAACCTACATAACGAACTCATGCAAATGGATGGCCGAGCCGGGTCTGGGAGTGATGCGGTATATAACAGCTAAAATGGATAGGAAATCATGGACAGCCATGATAACCCACGTCCTTAAGGGATATTGTACGTAGAAAAAGAAGACTGATTCGATTATGCATAATTATGATTTTTTTCAACAATCTATTCGTCAGTATGGCGTGACTTAATTAATTGAATTAATATCATATGTTGCAGTACTTCCCCCTACTGCTGAATAGAGACAAGTAAAAGAAAAAGACTATCTAGATTGCAACGAACGGTTTAATGGTGGAAAGTAATATATGTATTGCCGACTCAACGCTTTAAACTAGCGGTCCACGTGCAGTGGCCCAGCGAAGTGAGAGGTTGGTAGGAAATTTCCGCTCTTTGTATAATATTTAGACGTATGTTGTCTGAATTTCTTACATAAAACAGGTCTACTATCAATCCTTAGCTAGTATATCTTTTATCTGATTGTTGCTTTTTAGCACGACGTTCACTGCTTTAAATTATGCAACAGTTTGTAAGCAAGCAGCAAGATTTATTTCAAATTAGGACACCTGTCGCAGAATTTATCTGGCGTGTTATTGCCAATGATTCCGCTTGTCAGTTGACGTTCTAATAGTGTAGTTTTGTATCACATATAACAGATTCTTCTTTTACGGCTCATATCAAAGTTGATTATGTGAGTAAAAGTCTGTTTTTTATACTACAGGGGTTAGTAAGATAGAAAGGTTTCACTCGCTTAAAATGACTCTTCGGATAATCACCAATTGACGGGATATTTTATGACGTAGTGTATTCATATATTTCTGAAGGCTATTAGCAATTTGAACCCGAATTCGAACCCGATGCGCCGATTTTATTTTTGTATTCGTTATGCCACCATGAGTTTATAATATACCTAAATGTTTTCTTTAAAATGACACCTTGTTAGTAAAGCAATAATCAAGTGAACAAACACGTTGAAAACGCAATAAATTTTGAATTCAGTTTTCACTGACTTGACATAGAAAATATTCTAAGATGTCAAAAAGTAAGAGATTGTAATGAGTTGAATGATTTCCTTTCTTTACTTATAGAAATTGATTAGGTAGCATAGGTATGGACACCAGGATAGGTAATGAGGTAATGTAGCTGCGACTCTGTAACAGAGAATAAATAAGGATATAGTGAACTAAGACAGAGTACAATAGAATATATTTGGGCTTAGTATTACTTTGATACTGAAAAAAGAGAATATATAATGTCGATGTGAAAGTGCGCAACAGAGTAGGTAAGGAAGTATAGTAGCTGTGGGCGCGTGACAGAAAATATAAAAAAAAGCTAGTGCATCTATGAAAGCATAAAAAAGAAGACGTAATGGGATAGTGTGGCATTGATACTGAGCAAGAGCATAATGAATGACAAAGTGTTGCTTTGAGAGGGTGTAACAGAATAATTAAAGAGGTAGCTTAGATTTAAGAGTGTACAAAACATGTGACTGATCTATACCCGTTTATCTGCAAAAGGTTTGTTGATTCATTCTCTCTTTGAGGTGATAAATATTCCAGGGAAACGGTATCCACAGAATATATGAATTTCAGACAAACAATGACGGCACGTGAAATGTGCATGTGGACACTGAAAGAAAGGTGCTGTGATGAGATGAAATATTGCATCCAAATCACATACTAATTCAAGCTAGTCTGATTAACTCATTATATACACAAATTAACAAAATTTAATTCCCGAAATACCT